AAGAAGAAAGCGCAAAAGCTGGGTTGCAGCTAAACATAAAAAACCAAGATTATGGCAACAAGAATGATTGACAACTGGGAAATAGAGGGAGAAAATGTGGAGGCCGTGACAGACTTTGTATTTCTAGGTGCAAGATTACTGCAGATGCAGACTGTAGCCAGGAAATCAGAAGACGCTTACTTCTTGGGAGGAGAGCAATGTCCAGTCTCGATAAAATAGTAAAGAGTAGAGACATCAGACTGGCAACAAAGATCCGCCTAGTCAAAGCCATGTTATTCCCTGTAGAAACCTACGGATGTGAGAGCTGGACCTTAGGGAAGGCTGAGCGAAGGAAGATCGATGCTTTTGAGCTGTGGTGTTGGAGGAAAGTTCTGAGAGTGCCTTGGACTGCGAGAAGATCCAACCAGTCCATCCTCCAGGAAATAAAGCCCGACTGCTCATTGGAGGGAAGAAGATACTAGAGACAAAGTTGAAGTACTTTGGCCACATCATGAGGAGACAGGAAAGCCTAGAGAAGACAATTATGCTGGGGAAAGTGGAAGGCAAAAGGAAGAGGGGCCGACCAAGGGCAAGATGGATGGATGGCATCCTTGAAGTGACTGGACTGACCTTGAGGGAGCTGGGGGTGGTAACGGCCGACAGGGAACTCTGGCGTAGGCTGGTCCATGAGGTCACGAAGAGTCGGAGACGACTGAACGAATGAACAACAACAGGCTTTGCTGTCTCCTCATGATGTGGCCAAAGTACTTCAACTTTGTCTCTAGTATCCTTCCCTCCAGTGAGCAGCCGGGCTTTATTTCCTGGAAGATGGACTGGTTGGATCTTTTCGCAGTCCAAGGCACTCTCAGAACTTTCCTCCAACACCACAACTCACAACTCAGAGTTCTTTTACATTCAGATAAAGTCCCAATTTTAATCAATGTCTAAGGCAGACCCCATACCATCCACCAGTTACTCATCCCTTAGGTGTAGTATGTGATGTGAGCTTTAGTTCCTATGAACACCTGACTAAAATGACAAGGGAGCCATTACATTGTTCAGAAAGCACTATGAAACATATGCTATATCAGAGACATTTTGCTATTCCAAAATTGTGGTAGACTGGAGGAGTCTAGTCTACACACCACTCTTCTCCAAGGCACACAGAGAGATGGTGTACTGCAGAATGGCAGATTTGTTGGGAACACAATCAGGCCTTCTTTGAGGTCTGTTTTCCAGGAGAAGGAAGAAAAGATGGTAATGTATGCATCACGGACAGTGAATATGTCTATGTGTGTGAATGTTTGTGGACCCAATATAGCTAGAGTCTGTATGTCTCTTTCTCAATATTCCTCTGTGTTATACGTTGTCTCATTGATAACTAAATAAAAGGAACCCTTTTAATGCTTTTTAAAGTTTGAAAACTATTTATGACAGTAATGCATCTGCTGAGTGATGGCTTGAAGGCCTAATGTGGGGAGGTGGTGAAGTTTGGATGAAAACTGTCCAGTTGGTCCAAACCTTAAGATATTTATTTATTTATCATGTCAGAAGCAGTACAATTATAATGTATTTAAAAAGACACAAACAAAGTTTAGAACTTGGCATTATGCTACATTTCCTTTGTCCAGAAGCTGACCACTTGGAGTGCCTCTGATGTTGCTGTAAGAAGGTCCTCTATTGCGCACGTGGTAGGGCTCAGGCCGCATTATAGTAGATGGTCTGTGATTTGCTCATCTCCACACTCGCATGTCATGGACTACACTTTGTAGGCCAATTTCTTAACATTGGCACTGCATTTCATGGTCTCAGAGCTCAGTCTGTTCAGAGTCTTCCAAGTCACCCAGTCTTCTGTGTGCCCAGGAGGGGGTTTCTCATCCAGTATCAGCCACTGATTGAGCTTCTGGGTTTTAGCCTTTCACTTTTGGACTCTCACGTGCTGAGGTGTTCCTGCAAGTATCTCTGTAGATCTTAGGAAGCTGTTTCTTGATTTAAGACATGAAATCGAGAATGAAAGAAGCCTCCCCATAGAATTGTAACACATCCGGGCATCCCCCGGGCAACGTCTTTGTAGATGGCAGATTCTCCCACATCAGAAGCGACTTGCAGTATGCAACCAACCAAGCATTAAGGTCTTTTCTAATTTTAAGTGAAAAACAGGATAGAAGATGGGTGCAGTTTCCCAAGTACATGGACAGTTGGACACAAAGTGTTGTCAAAGGCTTTCAGATTTGTTCCAGTAGCATTCTCCCCTGAAGTTTCACCTGCATCTGTGGCCGGCATCTTCAGAGTATTCATCTTCCAGCCATGTCATGTGTTTGTTCAAGAGAAATAAAACATAGTAAACAAACAAAACTGTACCAAATCACTCAAAGTATATTTCAGAAACTTTTTCAGAACTGTAATAAGGACACAGTAACAATATTAATCTTGATTTCCTCCCCAGATAATTCCATAATGCTTATGTATCATTCATGTTCCAAGTTGGAAGAGATGTAAAATGAAACCTAGTCAACATGTTTTCTTCAGTTGTTCCATTGAATACTTTGGGGAGGTCACTCTAAGGCCTGTCATTAACTAAAATTACTATGAGCATCTATCTCATCAAAGAGTAGAATGGATTGTCAATTACTAATCTCAAAATAAGTCACCCAAACAAACATGAAGAATATATGCACTTCTGCCTTTCAAAGCTCAGAAGGATAGGCTGTAGATAAGGTCAAGCTGAGAGTTTGTTTTAGGTTTTACCCACCATGTTGTGCTAGCATTGCCTAGCAGGGCCAGGAGAGGCTAGAACTGGGCTATTCTAAACAAATTGCCACTAGATGATAGTACATCAGTTTGGAACAGAGGGCTTTACTTTGAGAGCAAAGGATTCACTCCTACGGTTGCAATGATATTTCTCTTCCTATTGCTATTGCTATTATGCTTTGTGCTTCTTCCCCAAACTGAATGCCAGGCATTTCCTATTACTTGCCAATTTCAAGAACTTCTCCAGATACCACATGAATACTACCAGCAAGGTGATCTCATCATTGGTAGCATCTCATCTCAGTTCTTCTCCTTCTTTGATACAATGATCTTTAATGAACACCCTGATGCAATGTTTATTAAAGATCCCATGTAAGGAATGTTTTATTTCCATGAAAGGTTGATGAACAGCTTACTGAAATTCTTAAAAAAAGAAAACAGGGTTAAACAATACATTGTAATATTTTAATATTAGTATTATCTAAATGTGTTCAATCTGTTACAGAACATGCAATATGCATACCATGGAGTGTTTATATCTTGTTGGATTATTGGTTTCCCATTCTTCTTTAGGATTTATTGAAATATTTATATCCCACCCTATATCAAGAGAGCTTGTCAGATTTACAAATTTGCATATTGTATTACTTACTGCTGTGGTGCTTATAACTTTCCCTTATTAGTTTTTCTGAATTTTGTGATCTATGTGTTTCATTTCTGTTGCACCATAGATTGCAATTAAATATAAATCTCAATTATTGCTATTTCTCATTTCTGCTATATTCTGTTAGTTGCTTTTTTACCACTCCTTTTATTAATGTGTAGGTATTTTCTCATAGTTGCTTTTGTTCTTTCTTGCATCTTTGAATGACCAACTTAATGAGGTTTGATTATTAGTAACCCAATATCTAAGCTTCACTTGTCTAAAAAAATACCTGTACCACCCCTGCCAAAAAGAAAAAGTTTTAACCATTATAAGATGTTTACTCTGTGTAGTTTTAGCTCTGGAATTATGAAAAAAAATCTGTAAAAATACAGCCAAATGAAACCATCTTGTTGGTTCATAACCCACAGTTGCAGCATTTTCTTTCATCATAGAAGCAAAACAGATCACAGTATTCAAATATACTGAAAGCCAAATAATATAGTTTTGTTTATAAATTCAGGAGGTCTTCCTTAAGCAGTTTTTTCTCAATGTTATTTTATTTCTTACCTAATTGGGTTTTTTTTAATAAACTGAATTAGAAAAGAAAATAAATTTGACCCTCCTGTTCAGTTGATGTCCTAGCTATGCTAATCTGCTTATTAATGGGTTGTTAATGAGTTTAAAAGAAGTTTTGAAAACATAGCTGTCCTTGTCGAAGGCTTTCATGGCCGGAATCACTGGGTTGTTGTAGGTTTTTTCGGGCTATATGGCCATGGTCTAGAGGCATTCTCTCCTGATGTTTCACCTGCATATGAAGAATATAAATTTGTTAAAAGCAAAAACAATGATGGTGGTATCTTTGAGAAACAAAGAGGACAAACCCCACAGATCGTCCATTCTTACATTGTTGAGGATGTGGACACATCTGCTTGAGACACAAAATTACTTGTTTTTCCCCATGCCATTTGTTTCATTTCAGCATTCTAATACAGGCAGTCCCCAAGTTGTAAACAAGGTATGTTATGTAGGTTTATTTTTAAGTTGAATTTGTGTGTAAGTTGTGTGTATATATATTAGTTTTGGATAGCATAGGGAAGGGTGAACACCTCTGTGGTGTTTGTTTGTGGTCTGTGCCCCTGTTCAGAAGATTTCACATCACTTTCTGTCTCTGTGATCATTGGATTTGAAAAATGTGGCTTGTTGTGGAAACAAGGAATGAGAATAAAGCTTCAGTGAAGACACCTTTTTCCCCATGATAACTGTTTCCGGAGTGACTTTCCCTTTCTAGGAGTAGAATTCTCTCACAACCTGTTTTTTCACCCTATTCTTAGCTATGAGTCGTATGTAAGTTGGGGACTGGCTGTATAAGATAAACTCGGGCTTTGAAATCACTAGATATTGAAAACTATATTGTAAATCACTGAAGTCTACCAGAACAACCTAATTTTACTGGGATACAATATCCATAAAATGCAACCTCTATTTTCATTTCAGAGTAGTGGTAAAGAATTACCAGCATGTCTTAGCCTTCATGTTTGCAGTCAAAGAGCTCAACAAAAATCTTAGGATTTTACCCAATATCACTTTGGGATTCCACATCCATGACAGTTATTTTAATGTCAAGATGACTTATCGGACCACCCTGAATCTTCTTTTTTGTCTGAAAAGGATTGTACCAAACTTCAAGTGTGACACAGAGAAGAATTTGATAGCTGTCATTGGAGGACTTGATTCAGAAACTTCACTCTATATGGCTACTCTCTTAGGCATCTATAAGATTCCACAGGTAAGACATGTATATGATGAATACGGCTTTTATAACACTGCTACATCTTACTTTGCGGCATTCTGATTATTGGTGTGTGAGAAGCATAGGGTATTACATCTCCCAGTAAGAATCTTGCCCCACCAAATGAACCCTCTCCCCTTGGCTTGGTCTCTAGATAATTCATTCATATCTAGAACCCTTCAATGCCTATGTTCAGTTTCTTTTGGTCCCTTTTCCCATCCCTTTTCTTCATATGCCCAGGTTCTGTTTTTAAATGCTATACTGAAGTACTAAATTAGGGTAATTGTAGAAATGTGAACTCTTTTTGAGGGAAAAGAATTCTTATTTGAAGACAGTGCCCTCATTTGGCCTCCCCACAGTTGTATATGTGAAGCAGAAGGAAAAGGAAGACCAGCATGGTGTAACAGTTTGAGTTTTGGACTATGACTCTGGAAGACCAGGGTTTGAATCCCTACTTAAATGTGGAAACCCTCTGGATTCTCTCAGCCTCAGAAGAAGGCAAAGGCAAACACCTTCTGAACAAATATCACTGAGAAACTTCCATTATATAGGTTTGTCTTATGGTTAATAAAAGTCAGAAAAAAATTGAAAACACACAAGAAATGTACAAATGCAGTTCCTGATACGTTTGGGAAAGAAAACCAGACACAATCAAAAAGAGGAAAGGAGAAGAAAAGAGAAGCCAAAAAATATAGAACATTACTAACATGTGCGTTATCTGTAACAATATTTAACTTCAATTCCATTTTAACAATATATTTTCTTTTACTTAGGTCTCGCATTATTTATTTGGTCCTGTGCTGGATGTTAAAGCATACTTTCCTTTTATCCATCGAGTAGTCCCCAATGAACAACATCAATACTGGGGAATTGTTGAACTCCTTAAGCATTTCCAATGGACATGGGTTGGGATCGTCACACTGGATGATGATAAGGGAGAGAATTTTGTGCAGACCTTGATACCAATGCTTTCTCTGAACAGAATCTGTGTTGCTTTCACTGACAGAATGCCTCCTCCAACAGACTTTTCTCAATTACACGATGTGTATTTACAGACAGAAAAAAGACTTCATCTTTTCACAAATAACAATGTAAAAGCACTTGTTGTTTATGCAGAGACACACTCCATTTTAGGTCTGAAATATCTACTGGTGCAAACAGGAGATGTGACAGTTACTCTAGACAGAGTCTGGATTATGACAGCCCAATGGGACTTCCCCGCATTACAGTTTCACAGGCATTGGGATATCCAAGTCTTTCAAGGAGCCCTGTCTTTTGCAGTTCACTCCAATGAGGTGCAGGGATTCCAAAATTTCCTCCTGGGTATTCATCCGCACTCACAAAGCAGGGACAATTTCATCAGGCCCTTTTGGGAGCAAGCTTTTGACTGTTTATTTTCAGAATCCAATGAATACAGAGAAAGCGATGGAACTTGTACTGGGAAAGAAAAACTGCAAAGTCTTTCCGGGCCCTTTTTTGAAATTAGTATGACTCCTCAAAGCTACAGTATATACAATGCTGTCTATATTGTGGCACATGCTTTGCAGGCCATGTACAAATTAAATTCCAAACATAGGCTGGCAAAACCAACTCTGGCTCCACAACCTTGGCAGGTATGATTTCACAACTAAAGCTATTCTCCTGCCATGTGATATGAAGTCCAGTAAGGCAGTCCCCAAGTTACAAATATTCCACTTACAAATGACCCATATTGCTAAGAACAGGGGTGAGACAACAGGAAGTGAGAGGAATCTACCCCTAGAAAGGGAAATTCACTCCTGAAAGAGTGATCATGGGGAAAAGGCGCCTCCACTGAAGCTTTCTCACCAATCCTTGTTTCCACAAGTCAAATTTTTCAAAATCCAATTATCACAGGCACAGAAAGTGAGATGAAATCTTCTGAAATGGTACAGATAGC